CCTTACACCGCGGCATCCTTTGCGGCAGTTTTCCTTAGCAATCAAAAAAGTGTAAACTCGCGCGGCGACGACTTGTAACATTTTACGCCGCCCCTTGGTTGTCTGGTTACAGTAGTCTGCACGAACAAAACCAATATTAGCGAGAATGACTTCTCCTACAATTTACTCAAGTAGTCTTTCGAAAAAAGGCAACTAAGAGAAAGACTATTATAACGTCCTAAAACTCAGAAGAAGAAGGCTTCCAAAAAATTTAAAAATGAATGACAAACAAAGAAAAGAAAATTAAGCATATAGAAAGCAATACGGTCTGTTCATTAAGGAGCAAAACAAACAGAAAACCAATGTTCCTTGCGATCGTGATCTAATGAAACTGCAGGACGCTATTTCTACGGTAAGAGAAGCGCTAAGATTTTTCCATGATAAGAGGTTTTATTTAGATAGCCCACTTCACACAAAATCCATCTCATCCCGCGGTATTTAACTATAAGATCACTTTCAATCGTAAAAGTTATAGGCAAAAGTCGTTTTCAGGTGGAAAAGGTTGAGCCAACCGATCCGGATTTTCTCTGTCTATGCAAAGCCTTTAATATGGTACGAAAAATATGCAATTCTCGTACTGAGCTTCCATTTTCAATTTGCTTCAGATCCATTCTAATGCTGTTCCCCAACCGTTCACTGATTCTTCCACTACTACTTTCACAGACACAACTACAAACACTCGAAGTGTTACAGGGTAGGTATTTAGAATGCAATCTATAGGCAATCATAAGTCTTATGCGTTTCAGGAATCCAATCACAACAGAGCAGTCTATTACTGGAATCTCTACACCATTTACAGGAGCAGCGGAACAGTTTGCGTTAGTGGACTGAGACATTTTCACTTCCAGCGTAGAAATATCAGTTTTTTAGGAAATCACTCAACGAAACAATAGTTGACATGGATGAAGCAATATCTAAGTAGGTAAAATAAGTATAAGAAGCCTAAGCAAAATCCTAGAGCATAAGAAACCTTTAGAGGTTGAGTTGTCATTTCAGAAACACAACAGAACAGATACCTACCATAGTTACTGCTACAGTACCATCAAGTACATCCA